CGATTCCAACCTCTACACGAGAGTTACTTCGCGACTGTGCGGTAGTTAAATGGGTAGATTTTAATATTTTACATTTATTTAGGAAGTTATTGTAGTTGATAAGAAGAAAAAGAAAAAGAAGGGTAAACTTAGTATTGGAGGCGAAAATGTAATTTACACTAGTGAAACAGACAAGGTATTTCATTCAAAAATGGTAAAAATAAAAAATATGATTTATATCAAATTTTAAATCAGTAATTTTATGTTCACATTCAGACTCCAGTTCAACTTTGGAATATTAGTGATGTGGAGAGTGTCAAATATGAGAAAAAAAATGTTACAATAACATTTGGTGGTGCAAAGCAAGCAACATTTAATTTTCAGGTATCAAATAAAAGTGATGCTGAAGCTATTTATCGACAATATGTGGAATGTACCGCAAGTTTAGAATTGCCAACTGTTAATATTGACACAAGCTCTATGAAATCTCCACGACCAACTTCAACACATGATAACCAAGATAATGAAGAAACTGAGTCACAAGCTGACGCTGAAGAAAATGATGTAGAAGAAGTTAATGTAGAAGAGGTTAATGTAGAAGAGGTTAATGTAGAAGAGGTCAATGAGATGGAGTTGCCATCACCAAAACTTGGCATTGCGTTATATGACTTTGATGCTCAAGGCGACGATGAGATCTCAATCCGTGAAGGTGATGACCTTTGGATTATTGATGATGTTAGTAGCAATGAATGGTGGAAGTGTCGTAAAGGTGACGAGGAAGGCATGGTACCCTCTTCTTATATTGATGTAAGTATAAACTAAAATTATTCAATGGTTCATATATGTAAATAGCTCATTGTGGTTAATTGTTCTTTTACAGATACCAAATGAAGATGGCAATGCTGACCAATATGCTGCTGAGGAGGAGCGTCAACGGTTAGAAGAGGAAGAATACCAAAGGGCAGAAGAAGAACGATTAAGAAAAGAGGAAGAACGGCTGAGAAAGGAGGAAGAACGACAAAGAAAGGAGGAAGAACGTTTGAGAAGAGAGGAAGAACGACAGAGAAAGGAAGATCGACAAAGGAAAGAAGAAGAACGTCTGCGACGTGAAGAAAGTGAAAGAAAACGAAAAGAATTAGAAAGACAGTTATCAGAAGAAAAGAAACGAAAGCAGGAGTCTGAGTCCCCGCCACCACAACCGCCAGCATTACCAAGTAGGACTAGCTTTAGTAGTATTCATCTTTTCATATTTTCCATACTTAACTTTTTATAATATAACAGCACGTCCACCTGCTAAATCGAAGTCTTCTTCAGGTATGCTAATCTTTATTATATAACCTACTCTCTCTTTCTTTTTTTTTTTTTTTTTTATATATATTTTATTCATTTTGATTTGATTTGCAATTCGTAGACGAAGCAGCTATAAAGAAAATACAAACACCAACAAATCGCATATTGCCTGACAGACCAGCCCAAGCTCAATCAAAAGATAGTATGTTATTAGTATATTGTTAATTACTATTTAAGTTTTACAAGCTAAATTCAATTGACGACGTTTTTTTTCTTTTTTTTTATCAATCAAAGAACCACTTCCGTCGAATACAAGACTTTGGACAGACAGAACTGGTTCATTCCAAGTTGAAGCCGAATTTCTTCAACTTAGTGACGGCAAAGTGCATCTCCATAAACTTAATGGCATAAAAATTGCTGTTCCCATTGATCGAATGAGCAAAAAGGACATTGCATATCTTGAGGGAGTAACTGGAGAAAAACTAGATGACAGATCTGATAACATACCTTTGGCCGCTATTGTTGCTGGACATAAAGGCAAGACGACCTTAACAAACAAAAATAAATCAGAATATGATTGGTTTGACTTCTTTCTTAAGGCTGATATCACGCATGATGATGCGTTCAAATACGCTAAAATATTTATCAACGAGAATATGGATGAGAGTTCAATAAATAATTTAGATCGCAATGTAATGAAAGAACTTGGCTTAAAAGAAGGAGATATAATTCGAGTAACTAAATACGTTTCTGAAAATTATACGTCTGTTAAAAAGAAAACTGCTATTGGTGAAAGTAAAGAAAGAGAAAAGACAGATAGGGAAATTGCCAAAAAAGTCCAGGTATTATGATATAATTTCTATATAACTATTCTTTTTAATGACAAGTATCGTCATTTAACAGTTTTTACATTTATTTGAACTCTTCTCATAAAGTTTGAAGAACTCGAAAAATCACAAAAATTGTCAGAATTTGACTTAAAGATGCAACTGAAACGTGATGAACAATTAGCCAGAGAACTTCAAGAAGAAGAAAACAGAATAGCACGTAGTGAAGGAAGAACAATCCCAAAGGATGCCGATTTATATGGCAAAGGGACTCTAGACTCGCTCATTCAACGAGATGATAAAGCAAATTCACCAAAAACTCCACCATTACTTTTTTCTGAAAACAATGGCGTTTTAAAAAATAATACGAAAAAAGCCCGTCCTACGCCCACAAAGACAGCACCAATTCAAGTTGATGCGAAAACTTTTGTGAATAGCAAGAATTCTAAAGACCAAATTGATTCTGCTTTTAAGCCATCTTCAAAGTCATCGTCTTCTACGACACAGAAATTCGATGATGATGCTTGGAGCTTTACTGACTCAACGCCTGCGTTAATACCTGCTACTAAGGTGGTTCCACCTCCACCTCCGCCTCCTCCACCAGTAATCACACCAAGACCTCCTCCAGTAGTCGCACCAAGATCTTCTCTAAATGAACAATTAACTAGTAAACAATTAATTAGTACAAATGCTCCT